CCTACTTCACTATTAAACAAGGGCTAACTTGGTTGTGTAAATATGAGAAACACAGTATTTGTCACTTACCTTCTACATACAAGAATAAAAGTAATGAAATAGATAATAGCTGTTCAGTTTAAGTAAATTGAACTATTAAATAACATTAACATACCCAGTTCTGTTGTATCCCTCACCACATGCAGGATGACTGTGTGTCCATATAAGATTCCATTTAACAAAAGACTGTAGCTAAAGTAAGTCTGAAAACCTATTGATCTAGGTGATGCAGTACTCTCATTTTCAGATCAAAAGAGCATAAACAGTGCTTGAGGGACGGTCCTAGGGACACACACAGAGGCACTAGCAGCTGGAGGCACAGGCTGAGGATGCACTACACTCACGTGTATAGCTCAGGGGCTCTTACGCAGGCCTCCCGTGGGCTGGCAGGGGGAGGGCCATTTTTAGAATGCATATATTTCCAAAATAAATCTGGTAGGCAAATAGTGATGTTTCCTCTTTTAAAAGAAACACAATTTCCACTCTTTTCTGATGTTGACACCAGTGATTTACAAGAAGATTTAAAATGAAAGCTTCAGAAAATTTAAGAATAGTTATCTCTGACTTCTCTTATTTTGCAAGCTACAACTCCAAAGCACTTCTAACTGCCCTGGGCCATTGAGGAACTCAATCAGACAGAAAAAAGGGTCAAGAAATGTTCCCCGCCACACCCCAGCCCTCTTCTTGATTCTGAGCTCAGCACAGAAATCTGATAGAATAGAAAAAAATCGAGAAAAAAGGGTGACTTTTGTCTCTTAAAGGCCAGATGGGTTACAGCCTAGCAGCCAGTTTTCACTGAGTGGTCCATAAAGCCCATTTAGGTAGAGGCAGGAAAGGAAGGCAAGAATCATTTTGAAAAAGTAGGAAGGTTGTAATGAAAGGAAGTCTGAGTTTTGGATAGAGAAAATACCCAAAATTTAGACAGAGTCTTTACTATAAACAAAAACTATTTCATGGCCACAAATATATTCTGATGGCTACCTTACAAATGAATATCAACAGTACAAAGAGAATTTGAGAGGGCACTAGCTCCATTTAACTTGTATACACTGCAAAACAAAATACAACTAATACGAGAAAGTA